CACTTTAAAGATACCTCAGGTGTGTCTGTGCGAATTCCAGTCACAGCAGCGCAGGCGTCTTTTCTAAGAAGAGCGTGAGCGAGCATGAGATTCGCAACTGCGAGGTGGCGGGACGGGACTCGATGGGATTGGGAAACGGGGAAGTCTCGGCTAGGTGGCAGAGATCAAAGGCTTTGGCAGGAGTTGTGATTGCCGTGCGCCGGGACGGGAATGCGAGGACAAGGCGAGTGCTCAGGGAGGAGGGAGACAGCCAGGGAAAAAACATTTCCATGCTGGGCAGGCAGCCAAAAGCACGCGAACTCTTGGGTGTCTGCTTGGGGCTGGCTCTCCCGGGAGCAAGAGTGGACAAAACAGAAAGAAGGAAGGGAAGAAAACACCAGCAAGGAAACCGAAAGCAAGAGAGAGAGGTCACTTGTGCTTTGGATCGGCTTTTCTCGACAAAGGTCATAGCCAGCAGGCAGAATCCGTGCCGGCTCGAAGAAGCCGTACAGTCGGAGCGCGGTCGGGCAGCTTAAGCACTCCACGGCCTGGGACTTTAAGCCACAATTTTTATTTGATTGTAATTGCAGGCCCCTGGGCACTCTCTAACAGCAATTAGGAAATTTGCTAAATCCTCTTCTTTTCCCAGAAATACAAAAAACAAGCAGGCAGAAAAGCAAAAAAAAAAAAAAATCAACATTAACACAGGATATTCCCCACCCTATCATAAAAAGATCCGCTTCCCTTTTTCTAAAATGAGTATCTAAAAAGCAGATAAACTCTTGCAAAACTCCTTGAAGAGCTGCGTAAGTACTGAAACGTTCTGTTGGCTTAGGAAGAAGTAATTTTCACTAATGAATTTTGGTTTGCCTTGAAACTTAGCCAAAGTTGCCTCTCTGCAGGATCCGTATTATTTTTAATATACCTGTATTTGGGTGGCAACTAGGAGCAAGCTCGCCAGCTACCACAAGAAAATGTAGTTCAGAAGAAAAAAGCCTTATCCCAAATGTTTTCTTATCCTGAAACGTGTCAAAACATCGCTTGAGTGATATTCCCACTTCCGTGAAAATTCGGGAAAGTTGCGTCACACCCACAAAAGTGAGAGCAGAACTGCGAGTGACCGTCGCTCGCGTTTGGAAGGGTCTGAAGCGGAGGGCGTTGGGGGAAGTTTATAGAATCTGTAGGAAGCGGATCGGGGATAGAACAAGGGGTTTTAGGATGGGTGAGAACTATAGAAAGAGCCTGGATTTGCAGGAGGGATTTTGAAAAGAGGAGTTCTGCCGGGGTGGGGGGGTGAATAACCGGGTTTAACACGAAGGGAACTAGTCGGGGATGAACTTTGGGGCGGAGAGGACGTGGACATATTGGGCACGGC